TATATTATATTATATTATATTATATTATATTATATATAGTATAAGTATATAGTATATGTTATAAGGTATATATTATAATACCATATATAATAATATTTTTATATATATAAATATGTATGCGTGTGTGTGTATATATATAGTATAAATTCTCTCATAGATTGCTCGGGCAGGCCCTAGCTTATGATTATGAGCTGCAGCTGAAAGAAGCAGAGCTCTTCATGCCTCAGACTTGTGCACAAGCACTAGGGATATTGGTGACTCTCTTGTCTGGCGTTCCTGTTTCCCTCCCTGCCAAACTCTTTCTACCTAAGTACAGACCTGCCTCTGCTAAATGAACCTGTTGATTACTCTGTTTGACTGCCTGAGTCTTTTGAACAACGTTTAGATCTCTTGTTGTTGTTGTTGTTGTTGTTTTTCTTTAAACATGCAGTTGCTCTATGAGAGGTTTTATGCTTGAAGAAAGATCTGCTAAGCAACAACCCGTAACTTCTGCTTTGCAGATTGTCATGTACTTGTTCACAGAGGATTCCCAGGTTTTTAGAAGTGTGAATTATTAGGGGAGTCTGTCTGGTTTCAGCCTTGGGAGGTTGTACAAAAAGTGCTGCTGTTGCTGGTTGCTTTGCAGATTGAAGGAAGACCTCTTTTTTAGCTAACTAGTTTTCCTATTAGTTTTCCTGACTTTTGATTTCTTATACCAAAGAAGTCTTTGCTGTTGGCACTTCTCTGACACTGTGCTGCATATCTAACTGAAAAGTTCCAGCATTTGAGTGTGCCTGAATGCTCCTTTGGTGTCTGCATCTGTTTTGTGAATGAAATACAGCAGTGAATGTCTCTTGAAATATTTCAAAAGGCAGTTTAACAATCTGGTGAGGTTTCAGTAGATATCTGTGTGTTTCTTTCAGGATACAGAGGTCGACATTCTGGAGACAGTGCAGAACTTGCTGAGGCATTGCTCAAACCCTACGAGCTTTCTCAAACCTCTGGCAAAGCTTTTTTCTGTCATCCAGAACAAACTGTCTCGACAAAAGTTGTGCTTGGTGTTTCAGGTATTGTCTCTTTAAAATGTCCTGTATTTTAAACAACTGTCACATCAAGAAGGAATTTATTTATTGCTGTTGTACATGAATTTAGAAAAACTTTAAATCATCTGTTAAGTGTAAGTAACAGAACTGCATGTGATAAACAGTAATGAACAGGGAAGAGCCGTGAAAGTTTTGGCTTACAGCCTGACTGATGTGAGCATCTCCAGGATTGTTGGGCGAGAAAAGCTGAACAAAGCACATTTCATCAATAACAAATCCTATGTCTACCTGAACAAAAAAGCAGCTTTCAGCAGCATGAAGCTGATTTTTTACACAGATTTATAACAGTCAGGCTGTTTTGTGTTATTCTGAAATGACTAACAAAATGTTATATTCTCAGCAGAAAACTCCAGGAAACACTTGATGTAAATGTTTAGAAATTTAGGAATGTAAAACACATCTTCCGGCTTGTGGAAGAAAAACACTGATGACAAAATGACTYTTAGTAAGCTTTTTCTCTTGTTAAGAAAGGCGGCTGCTGTTTTGTCTTTTTTCTTGATCTGAAGTGTTTAGAATTAAAGCCTCRAGTCTCCCAGCTTTTTAACACCTATATGCATTAAAATGTTTTCTTTTAGACTCTATCCGATTTGGACAGTGAATTGGAATACATTACTGATGTTGTTAAGGTATGCACGGTTTCTTTAGTAGTTCCCTTTTTTGTCCCGTAACGCTGTGTTGTCACGTTTCTAGCCTTCTCCATGAATGACTTTTTACTCTCTCTCAGCTGAATGCATTTGATCAACGGCACCTTGATGATATCGACTTTGATRTACGCTTGTCAGCCTTCCAGTCAATCACAGCCCATATCAAAGAAATGCARTCAGTGGATATCAACTTCCTCATCCCTGTTATGCACAACTGCTTTTACACCATCCAGGTTGGTTAAATGTTACTGCTCTTGCCTTACACACCATGCTTTCATTTGGAGTCYAATGGAGATGTTCTTTCCATTGGATGTTTTGGGGGGAATTTTTTGTTTCTTTTGGTTTTTTGTGACAGAGGAGAACGTTCAGGGAATGTATCTGGGTCTTTTCATGAACACGATTATAATGTTTCTCCRTTTGCCTTTTTCCCTGTGGGTCTGGAAGGACAAATACCATGCAGCAAGAAAACCAGCCTAAGTGGGTTATGCCTTTCTACCAGCAAGTCCTTTGGCCTACTAGCTCAATTTGTGCTGTCAAAAAGGCATGCTGCAATCTTGAAGGACCATTTTTCTTTCCATTGCAGCGTGTCCTTGTGGTGTGGGCCTGCTGCTGAGTCTGATTTTTCCCTTATGAAGTCTGGGCATTGTTTCAGCCCTAGGCCTCCTACAGGAAGGGTCTCAATGACTGGTGGARTTGTTGGGTCTTTGCAAACACTGTGATTCTGGGGGTGAAAAAGGCGTCCTAACCCAGCTCACGTGGCTCTGTGTCTTCACCCGCTCAGCTGGGGGACATGGCTCTCAGTGACAACGCAGGCCTGTGCTTGACCACCCTCATCCGCCGCCTGGCCGAAATTGGCCCCGCGGAAGACGCCTACCGGGAGCTAATCCAGCACACGCTCCTGGAGTCGCTGCGGAGGGGGCTGAAGAGCAAGACCGAGGTAAGGCCCAGCCATCCGCTGGCGTTGCTGCAGCCGTCCTTGGGACACCAGGGTGAGAGATTCTTTTTATAGATTTTTTTTTTTTTGGCAAGTCCGTTCCTGGTATAAAAAATATGGGTACCCACTGTGACTGGGCTTACTCTTCATTAAAAGGCTTTAAAAATCGAGTAAGTCAACATTCTRCCTTGTGGAATTTCTCTGCCATTGCCTAGTTTTCCTCAGGCGTAGCTCATTCTTTGAAGAGAGATTTCCTTACTCTATAGGCAGTCCAAAATACGTGTATTTGCAGTTACCAAGGAATACCAAAGGACTCGCTGGCCTAAAGCACGTTGTAAATGGCAGCATGAATGCACTGAGGAGTGTTTAGCTGCTTTTCTAAGGGTTACGTAACCTGCACTGTTTGCTGTTTGCAGAGTGTCCAGCAGGACTACACGTCATTGCTTGCCTGCCTCATTCAGACATTCCCAGCAAATCCTGAATTCCGTGATATGGTCCAGTTAACCAACCTCCATGATCCTGACATGGATTTCTTTGAGAATATGAAACACATCCAGGTAAAGGGCCCCATGTGTCCTCTGTCAAAGCAAGAATATTTTATGTGGGATAATATTTGTCAAAGYATCTGTGCGTTAACGTTGGAGGGAGGTTGAACCTGTATCAATAGGTGTCGTTAGAAATGGTTTGTGGACATTAAGTTACATGGGTGACTGTGAATCAAAATCACAACTTACTAGTATTTCTACCTATAAATATTGTGTTTTCATAACTTAGCAACACTGTTTCTACCTTCTCCTAATTTAGCTAAAAGAAATGATTTGGGTATACGTGTCCTTATATGAGATGTCCTTGAGCAGGCATCTCCATCCCCCTGTCAGCAAGGTCYGTGAAGGTCCCTCTGACATAGGCAAGGAACAGATCTGTTTGACCAGCTTGTTCCACACTATCCAGTGTGCAGAGGTTGTGCAGCCTTTTTCCTTTCACAGGCCTTTTTGGTTTGTTTAAAGGCTGCAGAAAACCTAGCCTCCTTGGTTTTCTTGCTATATAGAAATACAGCATTCCTCGTGCTTTCAGAGATGCAACCAGAGAAAGCCTTCATTGCATCTGTAGTTGAATTTCGCATCAAATTGAAATTTTCTTCCTTGTAATTTATCAAGCCGTATCATTTTATATCATTTACCTCTTTTGGCTGATACCTGAAGATGGCACATTCTTTTGACTGTGAATTCACAGTGAAAAATCCCATTGAGTTAGAGTATTTGTTAATGCAAAAGATTGGTGAAAGCCCAAAGACTGAATGGAACGGGTATGACACTACTGGAAAAACGAACAAAAACAACTTTCTGCTGTATTTATGTCTTTAGTTAAAAGTGAGAGAGCTGACCTGCTCTCTGCTGCTGTCTGTGTCTCAAGAGCCACCTCAYTGACTCTCATGTTTGGCTCAGATCCACAGGAGGGCACGAGCCCTGAGGAGACTGGCTAAGCAGCTCACTGAAAAGAAGGTCGTGCTGTCCTCCAGATCCCTGCAGAACTACATCATGCCTTATGCTACTACTGCCATTTTTAATGAAAAGATGCTTAAGGTAGGTTTTTAATTGCAAGCCTCCATTTTGAATATTTTTACCTTTCTTGTATCGCTCTCGTTCCAAGACTTACCACTGTGGAAGGCTGATAAGGGACTGAGTGTTCCTCTTCCTGATGAGGATGCTGGTTTTTTTCCAGTGCTGGAAGGAGGATTCAGAATGTGCAGATTCAGTCTGGGCCCAATCCTGTATTTGCTAAACCTGCCCGGCATCTCTGACATGGATTTCTTGACTGGRTTTTTGTTTTAGGATTATTTTGGTTTGTGTCTGTTTGTTTGTTACTTTTTCTAATCAGATGGAGATTATTTTCCCCTATTCCTCCAAACTACTCATGTTGTATTCTGTTGTGATAAAGACTCTTCGGAGCAGAGATTGTTGTTTGGCAGCCAAAAGGATATGATGGGAAGCATAGGCTACACCTGGTAATTGAGGTGGGAATAAACACTGTTTTGCATGGAGGATAAGGATGAACTGCAGGAACTAGCTAAGAATCTCTGAAATCAGTAGCAGCAAACAGCAGCAGTAGCAGCAGATTGAAGGGAGACATTTTGCTGATGATTTTTCATACCTTTTATTTAAAGCACATGAGGTGAAATTACTTGTAGTGCCAGTACAGAAAGACTTCTTGTTTGAGACCTAGAAAGCTGAGCTTGTACAAGTCTGTGCAGTTCCCTGCACACTGTCAGTAAGACAGCAAAGCTGCTCATGTCAGACAAGCAGATGTGTCTTGTCCAATTCCCCTGATGTCAGAAATCCTGTTTTGAGGCAGAAGCAATTAAAACAGGCACATGGCTTGGCTTCCATGGCCATACAGGCTGCCCCRTTTGTGGGACAGATTCCCAAATGGGAGGTGACTCTCATTTGACTGGTGGGAAATAAAAATCATAGAATCATAGAATCCTTATGGTTGGAAGGGACCTCTAGAGGTCATCTAATCCAACCCCCTTCACATGCAGGGTAAATGCATTGACTCAAGTCTTGGTGGGAAACAGAAGATGTTTTTTTCACATTTGAAAAGAGTTAACAGTGTGAGTTTCTAGCTGGACAGCATAGGGTCTCCCAATGGCTGGGTGTCTTGGCTGGTTCATACCTGGTTTTAGCTCTGCACACAGGTGGGCCCATAGAATTGGTTATGTGAGGAAAAAATTAAATACGTGCAGAAATATTTAGAGGAAGTAGTTCTGGAGATCAGTTTGGTGAACTGACTTTTGTCCAGTAACGAGAGAAGATGTGAAAGAGCCGAGAACCAGGTATCCTCACTAGGCAGGAGTTACTTTCTCTGTGCTCTGTTGCTTTGAGGAAAGGATGCTTTAGACATTTGCTCAGCATGAATGTAAACAGCRGTTGAATTTCTGTCTTCTGGGCAGCATGAAAACATGGTAACAGCCTCGGTTGAAGTTGTTGGAGCCGTCTGCYGCCATCTCTCCTGGTCAGCCTACTTGTTCCACCTGAAACACTTCATCCATGTCTTGCAAACAGGGCAGATCAATCARAAGTTGGGAGTCAGGTAGGTACTCTGAGTGATGCTGCTCTCAAAGGTTCCTCCAATGGCTGCAAAAACAAAATCAATGTTTCGAGGAGCATCACGTGGGGTTTTGCCTCCTCTCTGGGATGAGGGATCACCCGCTCTGATGGGGGCTYGTGCAAGTGAAAGTCTGCGTGACTTTGCAGGTAGGCGTGACCAGGAAGGGCTGGCAGGGGGTTGCTCTCTCGTGCTGTCTCTTTGACTGCCTGCCAGCGTTAGCAGCTCCTGCTCTTGCCTGGCTCTCCCTGTTGCTGGGCCACTTGCATTGCTGCAGTGCTGCGGTCTGTGGGCTTCGCAGGGAGCGAGCTCACAGAACTTGTCCAGCTGAAAAAGTAACCTTTTATTTTTTTTTAATATATTTTTTCTTGTGTTGTTACTTCAGCATGAACCACGTCAAGCTGTGCTATTTTGCATGTGTAGAGAGCTGATCTGTGCCTGTTTCTTCCCCAGTTTGTTAGAGACAGTGCTGGAAGCCTTTCACTTTGACTATGACACRCTTGAAGAGCAACTTCTGACTGTTGAGCACCAAGGTGAGGTCTTGCCCTTGCGTATAGATGCACTCTGATTTCTTTGAGAGAGATGGTAGCTCTGGTTTGTTCACCRTTTCAATGATCTAAGACTTGGTCTTTGAGATGTTCTGGAGAAGGAGGATATCTCACAGCTGTGCTTGTCAGTACCTCTTGCCTTGCAGAATTATCAATATAAGTGAATGCACTTCTCCAAAATTCCGGGGTAGTGAGCTCTGTTAAGCTAGAGTTTACACACAAAAAAAAAAAAAAAAAAAAAAAAAAAAAAAAAAAAAAAACTATTTTTTTTCTTAAAGCCTCGTCCCAATGGGTGGTTTTCAAGATCCAGCATGCCAGGACCTCTCTTCTTAGTAAAACCACTCTCTTCCTTAGTGATCATTTGCTGTTGCTAGTGGTGGGCAGGAGCCTTGTGCATACCAGAACCATTACATGGATCTCTTTTAAGGACTCCCTTTTTGTAGCTTCCCACATTTATCAGTGTTTTTTATAATTACCTCACAGGAACTKCTCCTATGGATCTTGAGCCAGTGATGGAGGGTGAAGAAGCCATGGAGCTGGAGCAGAGTGACAAGGAAGAGGAGATGGTTGAGGAAAACAAAGGGGAAAATCCCGCCGAGGAGCCGGCGGAGCCTGCCCCGGCCCTGCCTGAGCAGGGCACTGAGACACCTGAAGATGGGAAGCAAGTGACCAAAGCTGTTTCCTTCTTACCTCGAAATAAAGAAGAACTGGAGTGTCTGATCAAACACATCCAAGAGACAGTTACATCCAACATCCTGCCCAAGCTGCACAGGTGCATCGTTGCAAAGGTGAGGAGCTGACTTGGGAAAGGCAATTCACAGATCTGTGCTGCTGCCAAGAGGCCTGTTGAAAGGTACCCCRAGCCCAGCTGGAGAGGGAGCCCCTGGAAGCACTAAGGAGGCTTCGCTCCCTTTGCTCTTTCACTGAGCCTGCTCAGAGTCTCTCTGGTCAGTGTGGCTGTGGTGCCTTCACTTCCCTACTCTGAACTGAACTGAGCCACACAAGGGAAGCAAATCACTGTCTGCAGCCTGCTGAAATGTTCTCAGTCACCTCWTAGCACCTGGGTTAGCTTCTGTATTAAAAATGCAGGGAATCTTCGTCCTTAACTACCTGGGCTTTTTTTTCCTCTAATCACTGGAGATGAGCAGCATCTTCACGGGTTGTCTGTTCCCTTGAGAAAGGTGTTTAAGATGAATGGGACGAAATGCTTTCAGGAAATGCTTCTTTCTCTCTCATCATTCATCCCAGTTACCCTAGACTGGATGTGGGTTTGATGTCTCCCTTAATTTCCACCAGTCCCTGTTCTTCACCTGTAGAGCAGGTATGCCACAAATTGTGAGACAGATGAGGGGCAGTACTTTAAGGCTGCCTGACCTTTGTGAAACAAACTGTATGGCTATTTAAATGTATGATGTAGCCTGACCTCTTAAGGGTGACTGAGGTCATTGCTGTAATGCTTATTATTAACATATACTTTTGCAAGGCCTCTTAACTTTTACATGGGACTCCCTGTCTATCTTGTCCCTTTTTTGTTGCCTCTCCCACCTTGTTCTCTGCCTCGGGGTGCACAGAGGGAACCAGGGCTGCAGTTCTTTTAATTTGCTGTTCAAGTCTACCCAGTGCAATAAGTCACACTTTGAGAAAATCTCCAGGTGATTATAAACAATGCTTGCAAACTTTAGCTGAATACTTCCCTGAACCACCTCTGAGGTCACAGTGTGAACATCCCTCTATGAAATGCAGCACATTAGACAAATACACAGCTGTACCTGGCAAAAAGCAGTGCTCTCTCCTCATCCTCAAGTCTTCAAAACCAGATGTCTTGCCAAGCTGACCACTTCTCAGGGTTTGCTGAAGAAACACAGGGTTTGCTTAACCTCTGTCGATTGTACTTTCATATGTGAAATGTGCATTGTGTCTTGCTGTGTTTTATAAAGGTTAAGCGAGACGAGGAGCACAAGCTTGTGAAATCCAATACTGTGAATGACGACGAGGTAGTGCGGGTGCCTTTGGCTTTTGCCATGGTCAGGGTGATGCAGTGTCTTCCCCAGGAAGTGATGGAAGCCAACCTGCCAAGGTAAAGTCCACAAGGGCAACCTGGGTGCTCCCCACGGTGCTGGGCATCAGCACAGGCTTCTTTCTCGAGCTGTTGTAGCATTCTAACAGACTTGAATACTTGTTTTTAGAAACAGATTTTTCCTAGTGAAATATCCCACTGTTTTCAAATCAACATTTATAAAGCTGAATTTGAAAGGAATTTGGGAAATCTGTAAATAAGAGCAGAGTGGTAAAGAAGGGTGCAGGTGCAGGAGTGATCAAGATGAACAGAGCACAGTTCAGAAAGTCTGTACAGTCTTTTGGAGGACACTGGATCTGTGTGGGATGATAAAGCCTTTGTGTTGGCTGACCCAGAACATAGTTTTGGTTGTAAAATAGCCCTGAAAAGCAGCCTTTCTGGTTAACAGTGTGATAAATTCTGCTGTTTGGGGGGAACTAAGCTGTCCATCTCTGCTTCCAGTATCCTGCTGAAGGTCTGCTCRTTCTTGAGGAACAGAGCCCAGGAGATCCGGGACGTCGCCCGCAACACCCTCACTAAGATCATGGAAGTACTGGGAGCACGGTACCTGCTCTACCTTTTGAAAGAGATGCAGTCCACTCTCGTCCACGGGTACCAGGTAATGCTGATTTTCTTTCTCATCTGTCGTTTGTAGACCTTTGTACAATTTAAAAGGAGAATCCAARGGGAGATTTGCCACCAACGTTACTTTGTACCACACCGCATGATATAGTGCAACAACAGCATCTTGTTGTGTTATATGTTGGAGCCTATATCATTCTTTGATAGGCTAAACAGTAAATAAAGTTATGTTAACTGAGGAACTGTCCCTTTAAAGACTTACAGACTGCTGTCGGATCCCCTCTCCATGCAGTTACAGAAGCAGTCCCTGGTGGGAGGTTGAAAACATGACTTTTCTCTTTTTCTCTAGCTCCATGTGCTGACTTTCACTGTGAACCTGTTGTTGAAGGGCCTTACAAGCAAGCTCAGCACTGGTGATTTGGACCCCTGCTTAGATATCCTGATTGAGGTAAAAACTGTTCAAGATGGAAGGAAAATGCATCACAAAGTGCTTGGGGAACACTGGAACATGCAGAGGGTTGTCTGTAGATTGCCTCATGCCCAGTGGCAAACAGGGCTGATTGTGCATTTCCTGCAGAGGAGAGAGGCTGTTTTTAATGTGTTATTAGCCTTTCTCTTGTAGAGGAACAAARTACCTGAGACTGTGTCTTGCTTTGTGCCCTGAGACGTGTGCCTGCTTTGCCACGTGCTCTGAGTCGCTGAGCTGTAGTCAGCAGAGCTGCAGCCAGGGCAGAGCACAGGGCCCAGGAGCTCGGCCAGCAGGGCAGAAGGGGAATATGTTCCCATGCTTTCATCTGACTAGGATCTTACTGATTGTCACAACRTCACAAAGGAGTGTGAGAAGAGCTTCTCCCACTAGCTTGCTCGGATGAGGGTGCTTTATGTTGATGGAGGAAAGGTACTTGGAGTTTGTGGGGGACCCAGGGAATTTGGGGATTTTGTTGTTTTGTTTTTTCTTATGAGTAGGGAAAAATAGCCTGGTTCTGCTGTTACTGCTTCAATCTGATTCTACTTTTTCTCATTCACTTCTGTTGGCTGCATTGCAAAGATTTTCAACCAGGAGCTGTTTGGGGATGTAGCTGAAGAGAAGGAAGTGAAGGGAATTGTCTCCAAGGTCATGGAAGCGCGCAAGAGCAAGAGCTACGAGTCCTATGAAATTCTCGGCAGATACATAGGGAAAGGCCAGGTGACAAAGCTTATCCTGCCCTTGAAAGAGGTAAGAAAAGAGAAAAGGCAGCTCCAACCTTTCCTAGGCCCTGAGCACTCCCAGCTCTGCGTGATTTAGCAGAAACCATAGACCCATGGGTGGCTTTCCTTGCATGAGCCAGCTCTGGCTACCCACTTYGCTTGTGGAAGCCAGTCTGCAGCAGGTTACAAAATGAGATGTTGCTATAGACATCCAGGAAAAGGAGTGCACTTTTGGGAAGCTTTCTGGCAAGCTCGAAAGGAAATATCCCACTGTGTGCGTTCAGTTCATTCGCCTTCTTCAGCAGTGACTCTCACTACTGCTGTTCGTTCTGGCGCTGTAAGTTCTGCTGACTGTTTTGTGATTTGATCCCCTGCACGTAAAAGAAGCCTTCCCAAAATGTGCCAAGGCTGTACCCCTGTGCAGAGATGCAGTTGTTCCAGAGGGAAATGTGCTCATGGAGAAGGGGAGCACTGTTTGCCTGTGAGCCCTAGAACATCCTAGTGGCACAAGACGGAGCCTGAGAACAGGCTGGAGGGAAAAGGGAGGGAAGCTGGGATGGAGCTGGGGTTGGGGGATGCTCTTCACGTAGAGAGCCTGGCAGTGAAGGCAGCAAGTGAAGCCAGAGGAACTGGCCTGGCTTGTCCGGTGCCTCCCWGTGCAGATGAGGGGTGGTTTCCCTGTTGCTGCATTCTGAGCCAGGTTCCTTTGCAGATCCTGGAAAGCACCACGAGCCTGAAGAAGGTGCGCAAGGTGCACGAGGCCCTGCGGCACGTCGTGGCGGGGCTCGTCCTCAACGCGGACCTGGGCGCGGAGTCCCTGCTCCTGCTCAGCCACGGGCTCGTCAGCGAGAACCTGCCCCTGCTCACCGAGAAGGCCAGGTGGGTGCTGGCCTCCAAAGAGGCTGCCCTGTTGCCTGCAAAAGCGGCCGCTCTCAAACCCARCGGATGAATCTGTAAGGGCTCCCTTGCTTTTATTTGCCCTGTGGTTTTGACGTGAGCAAATTATTTGGACGGCTGTAGGGCAAGGAGAAGGCTTGGAAACRGAAGTGATGATTTTCAGAACCCGTAGTCTGTCCTTGTAGGTGCCCCAGGCCTCAGTGAGGCGTTCTCACTATCTGCTCAGCTGGTGTATGGGTTTGGGTGAAAGGGCTGTGTGCATCTGGSTGCCTAGCAGGGAGCCACACATGAGCACGTAAGAAGCCTTGACAATCCTGAGCATCTGTATGGGGTCAGGAGCAAGGGACTGTGTGGCCCGCTGCCTAAAGCCTCCGAGCTGGCGCAGAGGTGCAGGGGCGTTGCGAGCAGGTTTGCTCTGTGTTTGGGGGTGTCRCTGCTCAGAAGCAGGGTCAGGGGCTCGAGTGCCCTCAAACATTGGCAGGGTTGCACTGTAACGTGACAGCTGTTTGCAGGTCTCTCGGAGCACTTTTAAAAAATAGTTACTGCTGCCTTAAGTGACAAACACTTACCAGAGATTTCTRCCTTGCCCTTCTGCCTTGAGTTGCAAAGGTGACAGAGTGTTGGGCTCCGTGGGTCGCCAGCCCTCTGCTGAGGGAGGTGTGTTTTCTAACTGCTCTGGCTATAGCAGAAGCACTGGCCAAACCTGGCTTAGGTACAGCCAGTGTTCAGGGGAGAAAACACATGACTGTTGTGGAGCAGTCTGTGCRGGAAGTGTCTCTAAGAGCAGCCAGATGTGGAGGGGTGGTGTGTCCTGCAGGAGGAACTACCAAGGTTTTGCCTGTTCCCTGAAAAGAAGATTATGGAGCTGTTCTGTGTATTTGTTGGCCTGCACAATAGTGACATTGTTCCCTAGCCCCAGARCCATCTGTCTGTCATGTTACTCTCTCCAGTTAGTTTGCCTCAGTCTGTCACCTGGTTTTGCTTGCGGTGTAGGCAGCAGCCAAGCACAACCCAGCTCTCCCCAGTCCTAATGGCAAGCGTGTCCTGGAGAGACCTGAAACCTCATCTTTCCTCTCTTGTTTTGCTCTGGTTTTCAGAGCAAAAGCTGCACCGCCTCCAGATCCCCGGCTGCAGCCCGAAAGCTGCCTGCTGCTGCAGCCCACCCCGACCCGAGGAGGGCCGAAGGCGCCCGTCAGCAGCAGGACCAACACCTCTGTCTTGGTGGAGTCGGGACTTCGGGTAAGGATCTCCTCAGGCRCGAGGAGAAGGCTTGGAAAGAAAATTAAATCCAAGGGGAGACATATTGTATTGGGCATATATTGTATTAAACGCAGCCACTTTGACCTAGCATATTTATTTTGCATGTGGTAACTGCGGGGATGCCCCTCTCAGAGCAGTGAAAGGTACTTAGTGTGTTACGAGTTATTTTAATGGAATATAGCATAAATTCTACCATAACCTGAATAAATGTGACCTTCACTTGACTCTTAAAAGAGTACCAGCCTGACTTTGAGGTGAATGTCCTATCTGTGCCTTTTTGTTGTTTTTTTTTTTGTTTGTTTATGCCAGTTGCTACACATGAGCCTGAAGAGATCCAAAATAAATTCCTCCGATGAGCATGTTCTGGAAATGTTAGATCCTTTTGTTCAGCTGCTTATGGACTGCTTGAAATCCATGGATGTCAAGGTACAGTTTTGAGCTGGGGCCTGTCCCTTCTACGAAGAGTCCTGTCCACAAATGTCATTTCGCAGGTTTTCAGTTTTCAAAGCTGACTTCATAGCCATGCAGATAAACAAGCTGTTTGAAAACTCAATATCCTAAGAGGGGGCTGGTCCGTGGTTGCTGCTGAGTGGGGACTGAATGCTCTGCCCCTAGTGCTGCAGGTTCACACGTGGCCTGGATGGTCTCCTGGGCTGTGCTCGTGCACTGCGGCAACAACAGACCTCGCAGACCCTCTGCCTGGGAGGGACCGTGGCTGCTGGGAGCAGTTTTGTCCTAGACGTCGTATCGTTTAGTCCATCTTTACTGTCATAATCTCCTGGGTAGCAGTTTGAGTGAGTCTGGGAGGGAATGTGCTGACCGTGGCGCTTCCCGGGAATGGAAGGCAGACCTTGTACCAGTAGGTAATCTGGAGCAAAGCTTGCAGGTGGCCTGGATTTCTGGCAGAGCAACTTCGAGGTCAGCTCTGCTTCAAAAGAGTTCCCACCAGCTGCTGAATCTGTCTTGCCCTAGGAAATCACAGGCTAAATCTCCATTTAGGGAGTGAGGTTGTGAGCTTGGTATTGCATACAAATGGTTTCCAAGAGCTGAGTTTTGTTGACTAGTTCCCTTTTCCCACAGTTGCAGGTAGCCTGGCCCTGTCTGTAGCCGTTGGAAGGTGATCTGCCCAGTGTCACTGCACCCACATGCTCTCGTTTGCTCTTTTCCACAGGTGATAACGGGTGCTCTGCAGTGCTTAGTGTGGATTTTGAAGTTCCCTTTGCCTTCCATCAATGCGAATCTGGAGCCGCTGATCAAGCAGCTTTTCCTCTTGCTGAAGGAATTTGCCAAGACAGGAATAGCCAAAGGCCAGAACTTCCACCTCGTTGTGAACTGCTTCAAGGTAAGTCAGGCGTGACTCTGCTCAGCTCCCTTTTGTTTAACTTGGTGGAATGAGACTCGTGCAGCTGCACATCTCATGCAGATGCCTCTGGAGTAGGGAGGAAGGGACCACAAGGTAGGGAGGAAAAACCAGTCTCATTCTCTCCCAGGTTTAAGTTTGAAGAAAGATACCCCAGCAGATGCAGAGTTTGGAGCTGAGTTTTGCWGGAGTCTTTTATGTTTCTCTATCATAGTATCTTGTTGCTGTCCTTTCTTTTGAGAGGTTTTTAGTCAGTTTTATACAAGAATATCTTGCTGTTAACATAATGCTTTGAAATAAACCCTTGTAAGCTGAAGGGAGGAGGACAGTTAACAGCAGTAATAATTTTTGCTCTTTGAAATGTCTCCCTGTAGATGTCTTCTAACCTCTCTGTTGAGCTAATGAAAACTCCATGATTATAAGGGAAGGGTCAAGCAGATAATGCTGAATTCCAGCGCAAGAATTTTCCTCTCAGCCTGGCTGCATTCCTGCTATGAATATCCCCACTGATTTCAATGGCCTATTCTGAATTCCTATGTATTTGCTTGTGTTCAGGTTTTGTCCTAGAATTGTCAGCTGAAAGAAAAGTGATGAAAATATTGTTGGATGCAGATTTCAGAGCTATAGTCTGCTCTTTCAAATCAGAGTGCTATAAACAGAGTTGGGCTTTGTGTGGCCTTGCATTTTATGGCACCACCTGTGTATTGACCACGTGCAATTTGACTTTTGCAGTCAGTGACAATACTTGTGAAGAATGCCAAGAGCCGCATCACAGACAAGCAGCTCCAGGTGCTGCTGGGCTTTGCTGAAGAAGACATTTACGACGCGTCACGCCAGGCTACCGCCTTTGGCCTTCTCAAGGTATTTCTGTGCAGCACTGCAGGGGTTTTGTGAACCGTGGGAACCTCTTGGTAGCAGCCTGTAAGATCTTGTGTGGGAGACACGTCACTGAATGCTCTTAAGGAGTCTCTGTTTTAGGAGGGGGGAAAAAAAGACTGTTCCTGTTTACCTGATTTAAATTGTTTGGGTGGTGGTTTTATATACCCTTAGTGCCTATGAGGATGCATTTGGATCTGAGGGTATTTTTGCTAAACAATCCACATCTCTTACTTTTGGCTGTGTATGTTCCAAAGAAGTGGGTCACCTTTTAATGCTATTTCTAAGCCCCTCTGACTATGTCTGAAGATGTGAGGGGGGAAAAACATACTACAGTACCTGAGAAAAGTGTAGTCCTGGGTTGTTAYACTGCACCATGTACTGTACAGTCAAAATGGAGTGACCCCAGCCGTGCTTTCTCGTCCTAGGCCATCCTGTCCAGGAAGCTGGTTGTTCCCGAAATGGATGAGGTGCTGCAGAAGGTTGCCCAGCTGGCCATCACGGGCCAGAGCGAGCCCGCGCGGGTCCAGTGCCGCCAGGTCGGTAGCCTGGTCCCTCGGTCTCCTGCGCTCACAGCAGCATGAGAGGACAGAGAGCTTCAAGTGGCCCTTCCAGCCCTCTGGGAGGTGTTTCCATCCTGCCAGCTCCTCAGGCCGSTTTCTGCTCTGGGCTGATCCGTGTTCCCTGCCTGGGCACTTCCTGCGGCAGCCGCAGTGAAGCCGGGGGCTGCTGCCCGGCCCCGCAGGGAGCGCTGGGCAGCACTGATGCTCTCCCTCCCTCGCAGAGGGAGCCAAGGCCGTGAGAATTTGCCATGATCCGTGGTTCCTGCCTGTTACTTCTTTCTTCTTTCTAAGCTAAACATACCCAAAAGAGAGAGTTGGTTGCTTCATTTCAGATGCTGGAATATGGATGYGGCAGGGGCTGTGCTTAATTGAAGTGCTGCGTTTCTGTAATCAGAGATGAATTTTGAAGGATGCTGGTGAATCTCTGTTAATGGAAGCCTGGGCCAGTCCTGGTACCTGGAGACGGATCTGGCTGATGTCGGGCACGTGCAGGTCCTGCTCCAGGCACAGGCCTTGAGATCAGTTGGCTCCTTCTGCAACAGGAATTTGCACACACAGGAGGAAGGGGCCTSTCTCCTAAACTTGCTGCTTTGTCATCATATTTGCCTCATTTCTTTTGTATAAGCTGTTTTGTTAGTGTCTCTGGTAACTCCTCTCTGTGTTTTATTCCAGATTTACTTAAAATACATTCTCGACTACCCCCTTGGTGACAAGCTGAAGCCTAATTTGGAGTTCATGCTCGCACAGCTGGAGTGAGTTTTTATCCCTCTGTTTCTGTCAGAACGGAGCTTTATGGCTTGAATGTGAYCTCGGGGGCCTCTCGGTGTGGCCAAGGGCTGTTCATGAGGAGCGGCGCCTGTGGCTGCAGCCTTGATTTTCCTGGCTCGAAACGGAAAGTGCTTTTCTTCCAGAGACTTGGTAAATGCAGCACTGCTCCGATCCTGTGCTGCACAGCTGGTTTGGCTGCTTTCTAAGCTCCATTTGTAATAGCAAGCTCTGCTGCTGCTGCAGTGCCCTGAGGCGGCCGAGCGGGGAGGTGCTGCAGCAGGGAGGGGCAGCCCCAGCCCCACTGCTGCTCGGGGGCAGCCCTACATGTGGGTCCCTGTGCCCGGGGGCAGCCCGGGATGCAGGTCCCGCTGCGCTGTCCCGTGGCACCGCCGTCCCGCTCCATCCGCTTGTGTCCACCCGAGGGCAGGAACCTCGGGAGAAGAGTGTCTGGAAGTGTCTGTTACCTACACGGGTTGTTCTTTCCGWGGAGTTATCCCAGCTGCAATTGTTCATTATCTCTTCCCAGGTACGAGTATGAAAGTGGCCGGGAGTCGGCGCTGGAGATGGTCACCTACCTGTTTGACTCCTTCCCGCAGGTAACGGGCACCCCATGGCAGGAAGCACCGAGCAGCCGGTTCCGTACCGGGCCTTGCAGGARCAGCCGCTTCGGAGCAGCTTCTCTTTGCAGCACCTGGTGGTTCAGATCACACAGYGGCTGAGGTTGGAAGGCAGCGTTATCATGAGAGATAGGAGATAATATGAACCATCACTTAGCTCAGAGAACTTGGCTGGGCTCCAAAACAGAAATGGCAGGCTGTGGAGTCTGCAGCACTTCATCACCTAATGTGCTCAGCCTGCAAGTGAAACAGAGCTCTGTCCGCAGGTATTCGGATAAACTTTATGGTGATTTATACTAGGAAGAAACACAACTGGTTGTGGAAGTTGGGTGTGAAAAGAGAGTGAAATTGAGAGTTTTCCCATTGTGGACTTAGCATCCAAAAGAGATTTTGCTGACTGAGCTGGTATGTGATGTCTCAAATCYGTTTTGTTGGCCTGGCTGGAAAACAGGGGCCTTTCAGTGGAATGGATCAAAATTAGAGCAAAAAAAAGGGCTGTGCATCTGTGTAGGCTACACACAAAATGTGCTGACTCTGAGCTCTGCACCTGGAGCTTGGCTGAGTGCRCAGGGCACAGAGAGAAGAGCCATCRAGCAAGAATTTGGGAGGAAGGGAGAAACCCCCAGCCCCGTGAGCAGGGCCTCTCCTCGCACTGCTCAGCCCACGGGTCTCAGCCTGGTTCCCAGCCCCGCTGGGAGGAAGGAGCTGCCGTCCTTGTGCTGCAGAAGGGCCTTGGAGCCCGACTGCCGTGCTGCTCAGGAACCTCTGCCTGTTTCCACTGGAGTTAGACCTTTAAACAGACATTTAAATGCTCTTTAAGATTTGAGACTAACTGTTGTCCTGGGGCCATTTTAGCAAATCTGAGTGGGAACAGGGTTGGTGCTGCCCTGTCCTCCCTGCTTGCTGCAGCGACGGGATCRACTCCTCTGCTCAGCTGCCTGGACAGGTTCCCCCCTTGGGGACCACTCCCGTGGCTGTGCAGGAGTGCCCTGCTTCTTGCCTTTGGATATCAGCAGCTCTCTGGAGATGTGCAGCCAACTGACAGCCCGGCTAATGCTCGTTTCCTTCTAGGAGCTCCTGCACAAATACTGTGGGCTGTTCTTCATCTCTCTTTGTATGATGATGGTGAACGATGACTCTGCCAAGTGCAAAAAGATGGCGGCTTTGGCCTGTAAGTCTCTGCTCAGTAAGATAAGCAACGAGAAGCAGGACCTGATGTTCTCACTGGTCACAGAGTGGTTTCACAGCAAGAAGGTACGTTTGTTGTTTTCTCATTGAGCAGCTCTGGACTTTACTGGAGAGCTGAGAAAGATTGTGGGCTGGTGGATTGATGGGTGCAGTTAGGCATGATGCGTTAGGGCTAGGAAAGGATTACAGACAAGAGTCAGCCCAGAACAAGCTCCTTAGAGCCCTGTTCGCCACCACGGCATYGTAGGCAGCGCAGCAATGGCACTTGCCTCTGCTGGCAAGAGGGGGAGCTACACACAGCTGCACAGGTAGGGAACCACTGCTGCAGCCCTCAGGCTTCCCAGCTGATTGCGGCGCTTTCCTGCCGTTCCCTTGTGGGCCAGGCGTTTCACAAGGTTAGTCCTTGTTCAGGTGGAACCTTGGAGCAAACTCCCAAAGTGGGTCTGGTTTCAGTCACTGGCAGCCAGCGCTGCTTTCAGCTCCCGCTTGCTTCATTCTGTTGCCAGAAAGCAGCAACGTTGAAGCCTGGCAGGCTCCCTGTGCTGATCCGGGTGCCTGGATGTTCAGCTGTTTYCACCTGGATGTTTAGCCTCAGGATCCATTCCTGTGCCGCAGTGGGGGAAGCAGTTCCTGACATTTGATCCTTTCCATCTTACGTGTYGAGTCCCGGCTTACAGCTGCCCGTGGGCTCCTGCTCTGCTGGGAAGCAYTGAGCTCGGCACAGGAGCCCAACAGAGGCTGCTGCTGGGAATCTGGGCCAGGAAGGGCCTTCCAGCCGAGGGGCTTTCCAGGAATGCCCSGTGCTGCCGGGCTGGGTTCCTGGCTGGCGACATCCCTTTCCATGCTCTGAAAACCAGCCCCTCGCAGGGGGCAGGTGCTGCAGACCAAGTCAGGCTGCTGCCCGCGTGAGCAGCAGGGCCGGTCACAGGGAGGAGGTGACGGGGTCGCTCCCTGTGCCCGCAGAGCTCCCACCGGCGCCTGGCCGCCCAGGCCTGCGGCCTCTTCGTGGAGGTGGAGGGCGTCATGTTCGAGAGGCGCCTCGGCGCCGTCCTCGCCTGGATTGAAAAGGAAATCAACCCCCTCCAGTACGAAAGCGTAAGTGGTTTTGCGGAGCGTGAGACGCGGGGAAAGAGAAATAAGACATTTTTCTTGGGGAAAGAAAAATAGGAAGTTGGAAGAAGGGAGGAATAAGCATGGAGGGATTAAACTGTTGGGACTAGGGAAGACGCAGAGCACCTGCCTTGATCCCGAAGGGGACCTTGCTGCTCTGCCAGCTGGCGCCAACGCTGCCGAGCGCAGGGGCAGAGGAGGGACATGGAGGTGCCTCGTGGGACCCCCAAATCTGCACGACTGGGTTCTGCTGCCTTGGTGACTTGATGGGTTGGCAGGTAGTGTGTGCCCATGGTGGTCTCTGACCGTGTGGTCTTTCCTGCTGCAGTAGCAGAGAAGCAACTTCTGCTTTTCATTGAAATAAAAGCGAAGGGAAGCACAGCCCCCGTGACCCGCAGGCTGCGGCGCGGGGCCGCGCTGGGAAGCAGCCCGAGGGCTGCCGGCCGCGGCCGCCAGCAGCGCACGGCGGTGCCGCAGCCCCGAGGGCAGCCCGTGCCCTGCGCCTGCCCGGCCCCGCGGGTCCCACAGCTGCGCCTGCGAGGAAGGGCCCCTCGGCTGCCGCCTGGCCTGGGATCATCCCCCGGGATCGGGGCCGGGGTGGCCGTGCGTGTGGCTGCTGGGCCAGGGCACGTGCAGCGTCCACAGCGAACGCAGCTCGGGGCGACCCGGCGTGCGCCGGAGCCCAGACACACGCGGGCGAACCCGGGATGTGGGCGAACCCGGGATGTGGGCGAACCCGGGATGTGGGCGAACCTGGGATGTGGGCAAACTCGGAATGTGGGCAAACCCGGGCTCCCCTTGGCCCTGACAGCAAGACACAAGCGTGCGCCAGCACATGGACGCGCATAGTGGTAGTAAATCTTCAGTTCCTCATAAGCATCTCTGTCGACTTGCTGGTTTTGTCAGATAACGGAAGAGGAGGAGGAGAAGGCTGCAGACAGGCTGCTGTTCAGCTTTCTCGTGCTGCTGACAAAGCTGATCACAGAGTGCAGCTTGATCCAGTTAACCAAGAACAGAGAYGTTGTGAGCAGCATCTGGGGTAAGTATCGAGAATCACTGTGGCTGTTACGGGAGGGATTCTCGACCTGCTGTGTGCACCCCGATACAAACACCTGCACCCGCTCGTACAGGGTTTGCACGCTGTGTAAGTGCTAATACATGGCAGTTACTGGGCAGCAAAAAAAAAAAAAAAGCAGATATTAATGGAGAAGGTTGCAGAGTTGATGATAACAATATGTCCTCTGTCCCAGTTGCTGGGAAGCATTTTCTGTAATCCCAAGAGCAAGTTACTGTGTTTAACCMTGATTACATCATCTTATATTAAAGCTTCCAGCTATTCCAGGATGATGATGTTTTCCTGATGAGATTATCTGTGCCAGGCAGCCAGCAGGGGCACAGGGCAGCAGTGCWGTGAGTGCCCTGTCGGGGCTGGGGCCGCTTGGTTTCCAGCCGTGTCCCACTGGGTGCCATGCTGCCGCGTCCATCTGGATCCCTGGCATTTTGTTGCTGTGTTTTTCATTTGCCCCCTCTTCATTGTGCTCCTATACAGGGCACACTTGTCTTGCTCACAGCAGCGGCCCTGGCCTGGGACATTTGGAAGAGGTGTAGTAGCATTCCAGGGTGGCTGCTCATGGTGGGGACATTTGGTTGCAGCAGATGCTGTGGTGACTCTTGGAGGGACCCACATCTCTTTTTTTCCCCTCTTGCCAGACTGGCCCCCYCACTGAAGCGGGTTTTCCTTTGTGCAGGTCATGTTCAGTCGCACCTGAGGTATCCTCACAGCTGGGTCTGGCTGACAGCTACGCAGATTTTTGGGTTGTTGTTTGCGTCTCACAAGCCAGAAGATCTTGTCAGCAAGTGGAGGGAAGGAAAGGCAGGGAAGAGGAAAAAGCTGTCGGCAGAGCTGCCTACGTCCACGTTCTTCTTGACAGCTGACCTGGACAGTAAGGTAGTGGTGACGCTCGCTCCTTTCCACCTATTAGCTGTTCTCTGGCTTGCACATGAGAACACGCCCATTTCTTTCTTAGTTGGTTCCATTTGCTGCCTAATTCTGATCATTTTGAGCATTTGAGCAGGTGTCCCTGTTGCTGGGAGGGGATTTCTCTGGGGTTTTAGTAGCTTGAAACCTTCCCGTGAGGCTGTGAGGTGCAGGCAGAGGTTGTGCTGAGCYGGATCCCTTGGCTTCCTCTGAGGATCACATCAGACACTCTGRTTTTGCAGGACACCACTTTGGATTTCACCTCTGTGCTCCCTCTCCTATAAAAACCCTCTCTGCCGTTTTGTCTCCCCAGATGAAAGAGCTCGTGTTTGCCTTCTGCCATCAGCTGCAGTCCAAGTTCCTGGACCAGGCCCTGGGAGAGCAGGTGAGAGCAGGGGAAGGTCTGGGGTTCTGCAGGGGTGCGGGGCAGGCCTGGAAGGGGTGTCACATTCAAGTGCGACACTTTGTCACTGTCTGGTGACCTCGGGTGCAGGGGGATACGGAGGTGGGCAGTCCTGTTASGAGTAACGTGTTCTGTCACATGGGTGGGCCGGACACGTTACACCCTCCTGCGCTGGTCAGGGCCTCTCTCTGCTCTGGCCTCGGCTCTTCCGTGCTCCAGTGACTGCTGGGGCCCTGGGAAACTGGGCCTGACTGCTCTGTTTCTGCACTTTAGGTTATAAAGAACTTGATTTTTGTGGCCAAAGTTATTTACTTGCTAGCCCCTGCCTCAGAAGAGGGTGCAGAGGCTGAAGGGGAACTCACCTGTGACATGGAAGAGCAGGAGGCCTCTGAAGATGAGGGTGAGAGAGACCCTTCTGCTCCAGAGGAGGGAGCTGGTGAGGATGTGGAAGAGAAAGGCCGGCCAGCCACGTTGCTGTGGATCATGAAGAAACTCTCCATCATGGCAAAGCGGGAGGCAGCCTATTCCCCTAAGGTGCCCTTAAAGGTAAGAGCAGGGTGAGAGCGAAGGAATGTGCTGGTGGAGRCACCTCTCCTTGTGCAGGAGAGGGTTGCTCAGACCCTGCTCCCAGGGGAGCCGCAGAGGGCACTGGGGGCTGCTGCTGGAGCTGGGTCTAGCAGGTGCTGGGAAASAGTTCCCTGTGCCTCAGTTAGGGGCTGAGCTCCAGCGCCCTCGGCTGCCTCTGCCGGGCAAGGAGCAGGTCTGGTTTTCCAAGCGTTAGCAGCCGCCATCACCCTGCTGGTCCGGAGCCGCCGCCGGCTGCTCCCGGGRCACTGGGTGTCACTGAAGGCTGCGCTGGCGGCGGGAAGAGCCCTCGGAATGGCAGGTTCCCAACCAGGGCGTGCGGAGCAGCCCCCCGCCCGTCCCAACAGSCCCCACGGAGCCCTCCCCGAGAGCTGCCGTGTCCTGACGCTCCGTGTCTGCCCTCCCTCCCTCCCCCCTTGCTGCCTGCAGAGAAGCTGCGTCTTCAAGTTCTTGGGAGCGGTCTCGGTGGATCTTGGCAAGGACAGAATCGAGCCCTTCCTTCCGACCATCCTCACGCCGCTGTACAGGGAGCTGAACAGCACCTACGCAGAGCAAGGTACGTGCTGTCCCGGGCGGGACTCRCGCCGAAGCTGCAGGAAACCGGACACGACGGGAGAGTTGCCAGGGTGCTTTCACCTGGGCTCATTCCTGTTTCCATAAAAGGTGCTGCGGTGGCTCTGTGGCGTGCTGCGTGACAGGCCACCTGTAAAAAATACTCTGGGATGCCATTATCTTTCTGGAAGAAACGTTTGAGTTTCTCAGAAAAATACTATTTTTGGTTTGCTTCTGTGAAGCAGCCTGTATGGTTCTCTGGGAAAGCTGGGGAGAGATAATTTTTCCTCTGGATTTGTCAAGGGCTGCTGGGCAAAATGAATCGTGAGAGAGTTGTTTTGTAAAGGAGGAATAATCCTTRCAGGGTTCTGGGTTTTCATTCCATAATCTGAAAAAAAATCGATTTTGTTTCACTAGATCCAACCTTGAAGAACCTTGCCCAGGAGATTATAGAACTGCTCAAGAAATTGGTCGGACTGGAGGCTTTTTCCCTTGCCTTTTCCGCTGTGCAGAAACAGGCCAATCAGAAAAGAGCTGTCAGGAAAAAGCAAAGGGCTTTGCAGGTAAATATACACGTGTACACCTGAATGCTGCACACATCACCAGGAAGGTGRCTTTGAGGAACATCCTCCTCCTGGATTGTTTCAGTTTCTTTTAGKTGAGGAACCCAACAAGAGCCGTGGTTAAAGCAGGGCCCCCAAACCTGGGGCCTCAGGGAGCTTAAGCCCAYGACACTTGTTCTGTCTGGCAGCAGTTTCTTAGGCAGTGGTGGATGTCTAYGGGGACAGGTGTGCGTTTTAACTAAACCTGCGACCGTGTCATTTCTCATTAGGCTGTAGCAAATCCTGACATTGCTGCAAGGAGGAAGCTGAAGAGACATAAGAATAAAGCAGAAACCAAGAAGAGAAAAATAGAATTCCTGCGCCCCAGCTACAAGGCTAAGAAAGCTCGAAGTCATGGACTGAAAGATTTAGCCATGGTGGAATAAAAAGGCTCCTACTTTCTCAAGAACAATTTTATGGGAAGAAACTTCCACCTTGAGAACTAGTGATTGTCGGAAAGATATTTACGTATTTTAATGTATTTATTTTTTCATGTCCTTTTTTCCAGCTGAGATCTTAAATAAAAGCTCATCATTTTTTTTCTTAGCCTGTACATTTACTGCATCCACCCAGGGCCGAGTGGACAGCTCGCACAGTGCTGGAAAAGATGAGGCGTTTGTTTTGCAAAGTGGGGCTGATGAGATGCCTGCCTGCCTGCTTGTGATGCCTGCAGGATGTTCCAGGAAAGAACCACCTGCCTCCTGCCCGAGCTCTCATTCCTGCTAGCTGTAGGGCCTGAAAAAAGTGCCTGTCACTTCTGGCAAAGCTTTGAGTAGAGGTAACAGCCCAGGGAAGGAGAGCCTGAGTTTCCAGATCAGGATTAGGACTTCCAGCCACTTCTATAAGCAAGTGGCCTCTGCCCCTGTCGCAGGCAGGAGTAACTCACTCTGACCCACAGGAATAGGGCGGGGCAGCTGACAGTTCCAAATTTTATTAGTGTTTTAATTACATGAATAAGTAGCCACAYAAAATCACCAGGAGGGGGGGGAGAAGRAAAAAAAAAATCTTTCCCACCCACTAAGACTTTGCTACAAATTAACATAYGAACATACTTAACAACACAAAGAAAGAAATGGAGTATCTTCATGTACACAGACCTTCACTTGGTTCCATTTTACAACGGAAGAAAGATCCCCCGGCTGACGGGAGTCGGCTTCAATCGGGTCTATTTACAAGTATGTCTGACCCAGAAATACTTGACTGCAGGACGAGGGAGGCTGGGACCGGCCAAAGCTTCTCTGCTCCCATCAGCTCTCTGTTACTGCCTGCTCTTCAAGGTCTCCACCAACCTAGGAGAAAGGGCAAGACAGTTTACTTGAAAAATCACCTGGAATACGCTGTTGTATCACTGTTGTATCCCTGTCGGATCACCTCGAATGTCCTACCGAGCTGGGACATGCTCGATGCATTTTATCTGGAGATAAATACTCTCCTAGATATTGTTTTATTCCATTAGGATTAGTACCCAGCACACTACGCACCAGGAGAGATGCAGTGGCCATGAACATGAAATAGCCAGGCCTCACTTAGCTCCTGCTGCTGCGTTTGTCCTTTGTGGATGCCCACGGAGCTGGCAGCCTTCCTTACCACTCCATGGCCTCGTCGAGGCCGGTGCCTTTCGTGGCGGAGGTTTTGAATATCTGCCACTTGCGGTCCTTCAGCGCGGGCAAGCCCAGCGCGTTGGCCATCTCCGTGGGCGTCATGGCCTGCTCCATGTCCTGCTTGTTGGCGAACACCACCAGAATGGCCTTCTTCAGCTCTTCCTCCTACGGGGGAATCGTGCACGTGGCTGCAGAGGTTTTACTTATGCAGAGAAAATCCCACCCAAGGAGAACAACTCATCTAAATTCAGTCTGATCATTTATTTCTTTTTTTTTTCCCGCCTTAGAAAATTCCTCAGAGAAAGAGTGACAGACTCTGAATTCTATTTGTGTCTTGCATCACATAGGAAGAATTTCAAAACAAGGCTGGTTTACTGAGCATTGTTATAGAATTAAGCTGATATCTAACAAGACTTACCAAAGAGTTTGCAAGAAGCTGGGGGAAAACCGTTTAACTTATACCTTCCCCGCGTTACTCATGTTACTCTTCTGAGTATGTTCTTTAGGTTTTAATATGCAGTAGTAGGACACCCCTCCCTRTAGCTCTGATTTTGCCACCGCTGAAGCAGTGCGTGGTTGTAGCAAACAGGGAAGTTTTCATGTGACCAGAAGGCTGAATGCAACTAAGAGACCAGATAAWAGGAAAAACTTCAAAAATCTGCCATGTATTTGGTGCTTCTCAGTGAGATGGGTTGCAAGGGCATATGCTGGGGACTCAAGAATCAGAGTTTCACACACTAGGTCCAGAAAAGGTCTGTAATGTCTCAATTTCCATTTCGCAATTACAAACATCATCTTGGGGATTTCCTACCTCCAACATTGCAACGAGTTCAGATTTGGAAATGCCAATTCTGTCCCGATCACAGCTGTCCACCACGTAGATGACGGCGTCYGTGTTTGAATAGTAGCACCGCCAGTAAGGCCTGCCGAGAAAAAGGGTAACTTAGCCCAAATACCCACAGCCTGAACAGCATTTTTTGTATTTTTAGACACATAATGAAAAACAAACTACTCAGAGAAGGCAGAAACTGAAAGGCCCAAGGGAGAAACTAGAAGGTGTATTCAAAAGGTTGCAAAAAGGAAGGGACAGTATGAATATAAGGTCTCGAAAGCAGAAAAATGCCTTGAGAGCAGGGAAGGGGCAGAACGGCTGGGGACAGATTTAGTTGAGGGATTGGTGGCAGGGCTTCAACTCTGCAGGAGAGGRCAGCAGAGGAAGTTCATAAACACAGGGTTTTTGCAAACAGCCATATTAGCTTTTATAAAACAAGCTGTGTTAAAATTATCATTTACCATTGTTATCATGATGGCAATTGGGGCMTTCACTAGGGAGGCTAAAAGAGAAATCTTTTAAATGACTCATTTGTAGAGGTAGGTCAAGAAACATCATAACAAAACAGCCCTTTCTCCGAGCTGCTGTGCCGTGGCTACCAAGGCAGGGGAAGTGGCACTGTCCCTAACCAACTAGGGATCAAAAAGGAATCTTGGGACAACCATAAAAGGGTCCAAAAGAGATCGTTAAAATTATTCAAGTAACCACTCACTACAAAAGCTGTGCAGTTCACTCCTCAAGAATTGTTATCTATACCTTTTATATTTTATATATTATGATATTTTATTGTTTATAACATTCTTTTAAAATATCAATATTTRAAGAAGTTTGGGGGGAGGCTGCTATATCACAAGAGTTCCTGCCTTCTCAGGATGCTGCCCAATTACAAACTACACAAGCTGATTTTTTAAAACAAAGCTGTTTCAAGTGAAAATGTTCACTTGGGTCTTTTTTTTTTTTTTCAACACACAGTCCAAAGCAGAGGCTACATTAACTTAATTCCAACATATTAAAATTTACAGAACCGATTTTCAGTAGTACCAGATAGAATTTCAAGACCTCAGGATTTTTTAGAGAAATATAATTACAAGTTTCCATTTTGAGCAATCATTATTACCTTATACTTGTCTGTCCTCCCAAGTCCCAAACTTGAAACTTCAGATTCTTGTAYGTCACTGTCTCAACATTGAAGCCGATTGCTGAAAAAGTGAAGCAGGTTACCCCAACAAGCTCAGAATAAAGCACTGCCATGTGAACAACCAAMGCATTTTAAAACCATACTGTAGAGATCCGCAACAAAGACTGTTACAAAAGAAGTGCGACCAGAAACGGGTGCGAAAGCACCACGAGTACCCGAACAACAGGGAAAGGAAGTGCCCGTTTTAATGAGCAACTGCACAGGGGACACGGGAGAGGAACACGTCCTCGGGGCCGCGCTCCTCACGCCAGGACAGCAGAGCTGCCCTGAGCGCTGCGCTCCAAAGGGGTCTCTGCAGTGACACCTCGGCCTCAGCGCGCGGGCAGCGGCAGCAGCACAGGGAGCGTCTCACACACCTTCCCCTTCCCTGTCACCTCGCAGGGACACAAAGGAGCCCCAGTCAAATCAGCTGCTTTTACTAATGGACTGATCACTCACTCGGAATGGTGGTGACAACTTCCCCCACTTGCAGTCTGTACAGAATGGTTGTTTTTCCTGCGCCATCCAACCCCAGGATGAGAATCCTCATCTCTCGAGTTCCAAACAGACTGGAAAAGATGGTGGAAAAAAAGCCCCCTACAAAAGAGAAAGAAAGGTGGTTGTTTAGATGTGTGTGCTGAACCACATGGTATTTTCCTTTTTATACCACTATTTTATCCCAGATTTACCCAGAAGAATCAAGCTGCAGCAGCAGCGAGCTTCCTCTTTGTGGTTAGGATTTTTTCCTYTCCTTTAGTTGTCAAAATCTGACAACAACTTTTTTGTTTTCACTGGCCTCTATCTTTTCAGTGCCAGAGTCTATACGAGGGTATATGTACGACTCCTAGGCCTGAGAGAATTCTCCCTGAAGTTTTCAGCCGCCCACATCCACTAAACTTTTCTTAAAATGAAGCATAAATCGGTACGTACTTGTTGCAGTCAACTAAAACCTGCAGTTGCACTAAATCACGACGAATGTGAACGCTGTGGGGACGCCTGGGCACTGACTTTGGCTGCCTTTGCTCARAACTGTTTTCCCTCAACATCTTGTCTACATAACAGCACCCGTGGCCAGGCACCAGTCTGATCTATTAAAGGCACAAGCAGAGAATCTGGGCTGACATGGATCTTTTTTTTTCCCCCCAATAATTTTGTCAGATATGTATCTAAAGATAAATAATGATTTTGCACATGCACTTGAACTCTTAAAGTAATGAAATACCAAACAACCTGGGTTTGGGCTTTGATAAATATATGAAAGATGAGACAAATCTGCAACCCAAGCAGCACCAATCGCTTCTGGACAGACGATATCTGTTGTTGCCCTGCTGGGTGCAGAGGAGGCTCCGGGCAGGCGCCCGCTGGGACCGCGTTGCTGCCGCCAACGGCTGCAAACGGGGAGCAGCTCCTTCCCCTCCAGCGCCGCTCATTCCAGTTCATGCCGACCCCCCGCCTTTCCCCGTTTTGATACCGACGCGCTCTTCTCACCCCGAAATCCCCATTACGCTCAGGACGGGTTTCCGATAATCATTTAGCTGCTCGATTTAAGCGCTGTTGTCACTTCGGTGCCAATTACTCAGACAAGTGTAAGACCAGCAGACAGACAGAGCGCCCCCCTCCCGCGGGCGCCCGGCCGTCCCGCCCCACGGGCCGTTGGCGGGGGGAGCTCCAACGGCCGCCGCTCCAACGCCCGGCCCCCCAACGACCACCTCCCCAACGGCCGCCGCTCCAACGGCCGCCGCTCCAACGCCGCCCCCGCAACGGCCGCCCCCGCAACGGCCGCCGCTCCAACGGCCGCCCCCCCAACGACCGCCGCTCCAACGGCCGCCCCCTCAACGGCCGCGCTCGCCGCTCCTCACCCATGTCGAGCCGCCTCCCCGCGCCCCGTCGCGGCCCGTCCCGTCCCGCCGGCCCTGCCGCCGCCGCCGCCGCCCGCAGCCTCCACGTCGAGCGCCGCGGCGCGTAAACGAGGCGCCTCCTCCTCCGCCGCCCGCCCCGCGCCGTTTCGACACACAGAGCCGGGACGGCGCCCGCTTTCCTTCGGCCGCGAGGCGCTGCAAGGGGGCCCCGTCCCGCTCATCTCCGCGCTAGTCTGCAACCAGGAGGGGAAAACCAAACCAAACCAAACCAAACCAAAAAAAAAAAAAAAAAAAA